CGTGGCTTCAGATTCAACTCATTCTCGAGGCCAATTGGCTGTGACAATACCATCACTGGACCATCCTGCAAACCCACTTTGGAAAAGATAAGATTTGCTTAAGCATATGATCAGAACTGTCAGTTATCCAACCATTTGTTCCTGCTAATTGAGCAAAAAAAAAAAAAAATCAGATCACTGACTCATCTAGCCCGGTATTATTAAGGTTTTCTTCCCTACTATACATAGTTATGATGGCAAGGGAAACTAGCACCTCCTGGCTGCAAAATATGTGTGCTACCATTAAGTTGGGATTTCCCTCCCTAGAGAAGCAGATTTTTCAGAAACTAATAAAATGAATCTAATTCTTCATTTAGCACAGTTACTTCAGGGAACTTCATCTACCAACTTGCATCTTCCTAGGGCACTAAAAAAAAGAGTGACAAATTCCTACTAACCCTAACCCTAACCCTAACCTTGAGTTCTTGACTACTCAAATTTAACTGTGTCCCAGATCTAAACCTATGTATTTGGTTTATATACACATGTGTTTGGTTGCAGTGAGCAAACCTTTTTCTGTTCAATGAGATCCAGCTTCAGAAGAATATTTCATGGTAGTTTCTGAAAGACTGACTTCTTTATATTAAATATATGTGCTTGCAAATATAAAGATATTAAAATATTATAAAAAGTGGGTGGGGGGAGAAGTGTTATCAGTCCTTCCAAAAGATGTCAAAACCTCACCATGAATTACACACATTACAGTAAAAGCAAAGCAAATTTCTACATTATCAGCTCAGTTCCTTCCTTCCTTCCTTCCTTCCTTCTTGATAGCCAACCTATCAAGAGAACATCTGCTGGTTTTAATCGCTCTACAAATAAATGTTACTATACAACACAAAAGTAAAGATGAAGAACTCAAATTCAAATATTTAGCAACTTCACTATTAGGATAAATAGAAAGTTAAGGTATATCTTTGCCTCCCATTTGTGTGAACTATGATAGGCCAGGTTGTAACTATCACCTGTTTGCTAGAGCAGGATATTCTCTCTGAGCCACCCAAAATTTAATTGCTATTCTAGTTGTTGATTCTGTCAGGTTTCAACTCTTACCTGGAAAATCCCCAGCATTCCTGACTCCCAATAGGCGGGTTATGTAAACTGGGAAATGCCTCTGAAGAAAAGATCTTAGATACCGTCATTCGGTGACAGAGGCTGCTTGCTAATTCTGCTTTCTGGAAATCATTTTTTTTAATGGTCCCATCTCTCCAGTTTCTCCTTTTGTGACTAGCATAGCAGTCTGGTTATTTTTTTAAAAAAAAAAACCCTAATAAAAGACATTCATTGTCGAAGGCCTATTTTGTTTTGTTTTTTTGAGGCTGAGCAGACAGTGGCACCCCTTAGCTGCATGTACACAAAGAGACACCAGAGGCTACAGTGTGAAAGGACAATTTGGATGTGCACTAAGCCAAAATAAGAAAATTCCACATCCATCTCTTCTTGTGCGGTAATAAAAATGCACATTGCCATCCCATTTCCTGATAGCTACAATTGGCTGTGTCATTGCACATCCAGGAAATGTTAATGCTTGAAGCAAATAAAGAACAAGGTGGATTTGGTGGCCCACTAAGCCTTTTATTTATGCAGAAGGGTCTAGGTCTGGGGTTTAGGAAGAGCAATTAGGAATTTTTGCTTATGTCCACATCTTTAGCCGCCTGAGGCAACCACTACAGTCTGTCTAAAGTTAGTGCCCACTTTTCACATTTTGCAATTCAAGAATTAAAACCAAAATTCGTATTCTGTTCTAATAGTGGCCACCCTATTGCTATAAGGGAGCAGAACTACTTCTGTAGCGTTTCGGCTCCCAACATTTGATACTCAGCGTTTTATCATTCTGTTTCTTCAGCTTTTCTTTCCTTTTGTCTCCAAGATTGAGGGGAAATGGGAGAATTTATGAGTCTGGGGAGCCTTTTTCATCCCCATCCAATTAATTGCCCCATAGCCATTATCTGGTTTGCTTTGTTTATTAGAAGCTAAGTGTCTTGAATGAACTCAGTGTGTTTTTTGAAGAATATAGTCTAGCTTAGCACATAGTGAGCTCTTAACTAATGGTATGCTATTCAGTAAACCAGGATTAAAACCAGGATTTTGCAAGGATTGAATCTTGCCAGTACCTAGTATTGCTGAATATTTTTCAAATAATCGCTGGTGGAGAACTTTGTGGAGGATTAGTTGAATTTGCTGTTAAAAGCTATATTGTAAAAACCAGCTCAACTACTCATTGTATCAATTATTTATGCACATTACTTATAAGTTGTGTTAATTACAGTAGCTCTTTGTTTTGATTCTCATTAAATGTATGACTAGTCAGTTACATAACATAGTTTTTCCAACAACCCTAACTAAAAAAACTCTGCATGGATTGGGGGGGGAAGTATTAGTGATACAGAATAAGTGCTTTTTGCATCCTTGTAGTCATCCATCACGGGAGTCCTTATAAGTACTTGGATTTGCATGAGATTACAAAGCACAAAAGCATGTAGGTATTGTCATAGAGGGAAGAAAATTTTAGAACCTTTTTGTTATTGGCTGCTTTTATAATAGTTTCATAGAGTTTTTTAGGTTACAAATTTGGCTAAGATTTAACTGCCACATTTTTCAGAAGTTCAAAGGGTAACTAACTGATCTAAAGATAATTTTCGGAGGTAATACATATGAAATTAAGCCAGGATTTTTAAAATGAGGCATTCCCAATGTAAATGTTAGTGATCTGAGTCTCTGAACTGAAACAGAACTGCACAGTGGAATAATAGAAAATAGTCCTGTATGTTAACTTGCCGTTGAATATACTGTAATGTAAAAATGTGTATTCAAAGAATGATGTATTGGAGAAGTGCTAAAGACCTTGATGGGATTTAATTTAAATATACTGTAGTTGCCTAGAATTGCTCATTAAACAACTTTCCTTAATTCGATGTCCAATAAATCTAGGATATACCTATTGGACTGCAAGTCCTATCATCTCCAGCTATCAAAGTTGCTGTCTATACTTGACTTAATACAGCAAAATGGATGGAGCATACACAACATTGATTTCATTTTGTTTTGAGATTATAGAAGAGCGTGGAGGATTTTATCAGAAAGAGGCAGAAAGAAAAGTCATGATGCTTATATATTATTTCAGTTGGAGGCAACTTAATTTCTGAAGACATGAGTGGGAAGTATGTTTTGTTTTCAGATTTTGTGGCTTTCCCACTGCATCTAATTACTCAACATGAAAAAGAGAATGTTGAACTGAATGGACATTTAGTGTTATCCAGCATTATATTTCTTACAATTTTATCATTACATGAAATGTTCTACTCCAACAGCTTTTTAAACATATGCCTGGTCCCTTGCCTTAATGCAATGTAGATTAGATTGAAAAAGAGTTCAGATTTCTTAGAGCATTATTTTTGAATTTCAGTGCCAAAACCTTTAAACTGTAATGAATTTTAGAAGACATTCCTACATCCCTGTTTAGTATTTCTCACCTATTTGAAAATGTTACAGGTATATTGCTTAATAGAGATTTTTGAGTTAGAAGTATTGGATAATGTAATGCTGATTATTGTTTCTGTGTCACAGTTGCTTGCCCTGAGAATAACAGCCTTCATGGAGAATGTGCAAATCAGAAGTATAAATGCAGAATGCAAATTAATTTTTTGTAAATAAATCAGAATGGAAAAAGTATGTAACCTGAAACATTGAGCAACATGTGACAGCATAAATGTGAACGATGCAATTCAAAGCCTATGTAAGAAAACATACGTGGGGGGAAAAACCTCTAGAGTTCTCAAGAAGTGAGTAGGAGGGCATTGGTGAAACGTCAGGAATTAAAAGCTTGGATCTCCTCAATTGCAGTTGTTTCTTGAGAATTGTCATTCTTCCTAAGATGCTAGAATGACTGGAATCGGGAGGTGACCAATGTCAGAAAAATTGAGTCGGGGAGATGCATGGGACTGTAGCACATTTGATCGCAAGGTTCTTTGGACTTTCCAAAATTACTTCAGCAATAAAATTTAGATCAGGGTTACATGTCATAAATGCTGGAATGGACTAGTGGTATCTAAATATTAGCCTTATATATTTCTTAGTAACTTAGAAAAATATTTTTCCTGTTTTTATAGACGCTACTTATCTATTTATCACTTACTTTTTTGTTGCTTGTATTGATCAATGGTTTGTTCATATCTGATAATACCCATATTTTAAATTCTAATTTAGAATTAGAATGAACGCTTTTATCAAGTGGGATCCATTCTATGACTGCCCTTGGTCCACCTGCCATCAGTTTTTTTTGCTATGTGACCAGTCATTTCCATTTCAATTCTTTTACTCTCTTGATGATACTGTACACTTTCATTTGTTTTCTAATCCATGTGCAGGTCTTTCTATCTGGTCTTGTAATGCTGAGCATGATTTCACCATGGCTCTTTGCACCACTCGTAGCTTTTGTTTTGATTTCTCAGTTACTGTTCTCTAAATTTCCTGTTAATCCCCATGGATAAAAATTATTGAATTCTATATGGAGAAAGGCAGAAAAATTTCAACAATACCACCCCCTCCCCCAGGAATGTTTGGTTACTATGGGGATTTCCTAACCATATTATGTCCATACCTCATTGATCTAAGTCGGGGGTGTCAAACTGGTGGCCCATGAGTGGCATCACACACAGGCCACACCCACCTCAGCTCCACAAAGGGAAAATAGTGCAGAATGTCACATGACGGCAATGTGACACCGCAAGTGTTATACCCATGATCTAGATGGTTATCACTGACCAAGAAATTAGTATTTAGAAAAAATGTAATCTAAATTCAGATTATTTGTTTCTATGAAAGCCCTAATCTACAGGCAGGATGTAATTGGCGACTGTTGATACACCGACTGAAACTGTCCCATGCTCTTGAGTATTTCAACCTTCTGAGATGAATTCTCTTTGGGAATGCTAACTTTTTCTTGTTGTTTTTCACATCAGGCAGAAATACCTGGAAACTCAGTAATTGATCTGCAGTCATGGAAAGCAAGGGACCTTATCGAATCTATGACCCTGGTGGGGGAACACAGGAAAAAGCATCTGCTGCCTTTGAACAGCTAGTGGAAGAAAATGCAAAACTTAAGGAGAAGATGCAGGGGATTAAATCTCTAGGTAACGGTGAGCATGAAATGGAAGCACAATTGACTCTTTGTTATTATTGTTGATGACTTGAATCCCATCATATGTGTGGCAACCTTTAGAAAAATAGCTTTTAATCTAGCTCTTATTGGTAAACCCCTCAAATCTTCAACTTCACAGAAGCATAAGAGGCCCTTTGCTAATAGGTGCACCTGCTTGGTTGGGTGGATTTATTGTAGAAAATAAGCAGGAGTGATCTCACAGCAAATGTAATTCAAGTAAGAAGAAAAGTAATTGTGTAACTTAAGTGCAATTTGTAATCTTAATATTTGTATTATTAAAAGGGTTCATTTCTCACCCCCTCCCACTCATTAGTTGATTTGTGGGCTGTAATTGTTCACTTTTTGTAGGCAAAAGAGATAAAAATCAACTCAGGCAGCAGCAGAAGGTATGAAGTGATTTTCTTCTCCTTCATGGTGAAAGAGAAGCCTAGTCTCAAGTAGAAATAGTATATTTATGGGATTATCTATCTATCTATCTATCTATCTATCTATCTATCTATCTATCTATCTATCTATCTATCTATCTATCGATCTATCGATCTATCTATCATCTATCTATC